GCTTCTAGTGTTGCACGTGTGTCTCGGGCCACATTGCTATGGGCTGTGACCCAGTTGTTAACTGAGTGGGAGACCTACATGAAAGAGGAAATGGTGAAGATGAATCAAGGGGTGGTACTTTTTCTGCTGAATCAGAACTGGACTGATGCCCTATATGCTTCAGCAAAATCTGAAGTGATGCCATCTAAATCCCTAAGAATTTGTGACTGAAAAATGACAGTGCTATTTTTTCAATTCATATGTGGCCACATATTCGTAAGTGAAACTGTCCTATATTTGTCTTGATATATTTCATAACTCTCCGTTGATTTCGGTAAAGTCCCAGCTTTTTTATTTAATAAAATAAAAGCCATGGCTATAGCTGTGTAAATATTACGACTTATAGACATGCTCAATCAAAAGCCCTTGCAAATGAAGCTAGAAATACCACTTTTTCCTGAAAAAGATGCCCTTCCAGGGCTTTGCAGCTTTCTTTAAAATCTTAGCAGTCATTTTTATTTCACTATAAATTGCTTTTTAACAGTCTGGGTCTGCAAATCATAGCTACCAGGTGTAATCCTCATTTTGTCTAACTGCTAAGTGCACAAACAGTGTGAAATACATTGACATACATATATATGCATAAGGATACATGGCAGAACCCTGTTCCTGTTATCATTACCTGATTGGCTTCGATGAACTTGCTCTACATTATTGCCCAGATATGGCTTTGCGTGATGAACCCATTCTCTTTTGTCCTTTCTGTCTCTTCCAGAGGAAATGGTAGTGCACATTGCATTGTATTATTTATTGAGCTATCTAGCATTTTGTGACTTTATTGATATGTAGTTAAAAAGTACTTTGAGAACCTCAACAGGAAGGTGCACTTTAAGTAGAAAGTAGGACAACAATTAAAAAAAAAAAGAAGACGCTAAAAGAAACATTTATTGTAATTATAGTCTGTGACTTTACATTATCAGTAAAAATGGAATCAAGCTGTTATTGCAGATAGCTCCAGGAATTTCTTTTTTTATTCAACTAGAACTGGAATAATCACATAAAATGGGTGCTAAGGACATATCCCGCATTTCAAACTTCTGGTATGGGAATTTCTAATTATAAATTTGTATATATAAGATCAGCAGCGGAGGCTCTGAGTTCCTGTAGTAATCCTGTATCAGCCATGTACCAAGAGTGTTGAGTGACAGCAAACATTTATATCAATCGGTTTGAGAAGGATATGATGCTTGTAGCTAACAAGCTGGACATTCAGAAATCTGTATGTGTTATGTTGCTTCGAAAGGGCAACTATAAACCACAGTAGCTCCAAATGCAGCAAAGATGTATTTGCCAGTGAAAGAAGAAATAGTGCTCAAGACAAGAACTGTATGATATTATATATCGGTTTGTATATTGCATATAAGGGGACCTATAACTATGGAATTTGGGGGCTCAGTTTCTGGTATGTGTCGACTAACAAGCTGTGTTATGACCGTTAGCAGGCTAAAATTTTCATTCTGTAATGTCCAAAAAGAAGAGCTTGAGAGTTACATGGTGCTGAGCTAAGCGTGTGTCTGTAGCATACAAGGGTGAAAGCTAGCACTGAAAAGAAACAGTTCTAAGGAAAAATAGGTGATGAAGCCCACGGGTCTTAGTGAGTCTGGTTCTGAAATATTTTATGTGTACCTGTCCATTTGACAATCTCTGCTATAAATGGGTTTCATGCCTTAGGGATGATGAAGGCAGAATAGATTTTAATCCCCCTGGAAAGTGAAGGCTATTAGAAGTTAATTATAACATCTCATTTTTGTAGCAATATAAATGGGACTTTATAACCTTAATGACCACAGGTGTGAGTTCTGTTCAATTTGTAACTCTGCAATTATTCCCAAATCCCACAGGATTAATATTCAAGTTGGTCAAGTGTTATTGGAACTTTCCTTCTTCCTCTGGAATCTGTCAGCAGTTAGCCTGAAGATGGAGAGGAGATTTTGACCAAAAAAAAATCAGCCTTTTATTGTGCCCACATTTAGGCGATTTGTTAAGGTAAGACTAGGCAGAAATTTTCCTGCAGAATTTCTTTTATAATCTGTTTTTCTGTGAGGGCAGACCTACTTCCTACTCCATGTATTGTATGCTCTCTTGCCCATCTTGTGACCAAGGGCTTTTCATGTAAAGGCCTGTTGATTCTGTGGCATCCTATTTCATTTTTCCCCCAGCATAATGATCTTTGGGCCTCCTGGGAAAAAAAGATTTCAGTAATGCTGGTGGTGGGCAACAAGGCAGTCCGCAAAAAAATGCACAAGGTGCCTAGACTTTAAATTTCTTGCAGTTCCTATGTAATTATATGGGCAACTATTACTCCAGATACTCATACTGTAATGTCATCTTGTAATTAATCTGCTGTGCCTTTGGATCGTTGCATTCAGAAAGCGCTGGCAGGTTTTGAACTGAAAGCTCAGCATCCCCTTCAGATTATGTTCTGCCACCACATTGTATATTGTCTATGAGCAGTCTGTATGACCTGTATACCTTTTGTGTAGTCTATCCAACGGCAGAAATCAGTAGAATACTGTTGTTTTAGTCAAACTAATTCCCAAGTGGTGGCTTACTTTCTGTTCCCCCATCCTCTTTCTGTAAGCTTGTGCCATGTGCAAACCACAAACAGCCTGAAATGCTCACAGCAGCATACTATGACCCTTGCAGGGAAAAAGGAGCAGTAAACTGGCAAATCTGCTTCAGACTGTATCAGAACCAGGGAGGTAAGGTCACAGGTCCTGGCAAACAGGGACAAGCTGAAACCCAGCAGACTTTTCTCCCTGATCTCTCAGGGAGTGTAAAAGGGAATGACTCTATGGATTATCACTTCTTGGTTTAAGTCTCCATTGGGGGTGGGAGAGAATGGCAAATGTGGAGTAACGAGCTGCAGCCAGAAATACATGCAGAGCTTGCCCTTGGCAAGGACATGCTGGGCACGAGAGCTCCTTTCAGACCAGAGGAGAACTGTTGCTTGCTAGAAGCCTGTCACTTTTATCACTATTGGTAGGCAGTCTGTCATGTCGAGGCTGAAAAGACAGTGGTCAGAGGTCCTATCACAGGACAGCTATCAAGAAAGCAAACCCACAATTCAAGGACCTCCTGAGTCAGTAGTTGTAGACATATTGTCATGTTTTATAGCCTGTCTTCTAAGAGTTTAAAAAGCAGATGGATATACTTTTCATCATCAGAGTATCCTCTGCCATAATGTAATTTTGCACATAAATGTGGTGCCTGGTTTACTTAAAATCCATTGTTCCCAAGGGTAGAAAAGTGGTTGTGTGGTGTTTTTTGTTTTGTGGGGGTTTTTTTTGTTTGGTTTTTTTTGTTGTTGTTGTTGTTTTTGTTTTTTGTGGTTGGACTTGATGATCTCGGAGGTCCCTTCCAACCACTAAGATTCTGTGAATAGCCATTCCCCATTCACTTCTACATACCGGTCATGCTCTTCTACACCTTTGTTGCCCATTCCCCACCACTTTCTTTTGTGCAAGCTGAAGATCCCAAATCTTCCTCTCTGCATCCAAGAATAATTCTATGACTTAGAGCTTTTTTGAGGCCCTTCTGTGTATGTCTCATATTGCTGCCATGTCTTCTCTTGAGCTTCCTTTTTCCAACCCATCAAAACTATCAAAGTTGCTGCAGACCTTAGAAATTGTCCCAGAAATCCAGCTGTCATGCCTTCCTCTCTCATGCTCTAGCATATGGAAGGAAGGTCCTTTCCCATAGTGTGGCATAAGTTTAGTCTCCGTGCCTGTTCTTAGGAAAACAGTTCTGTTTGTGCCTTCCAATGACCAGACAGCCCTGCGTACACACCTTTTCCCAGAAGAGAATGAAGTCCAGAAGGCACAACTTCTTACTAACCAGGAGAATCTCACAGGTATAGGAACTCCTTCCCAGCTGAAACCACAACAGCCACCAGCTGGCTGCATACCAGAGTTTAAACTGAGACATTTCTGCTTACCAGGATAACCAGGAAGGAGCAATGACCACTGCTAAGGGATGTACTTGTCAAATGTGTTCATGTTGTTGAAGACAACCCTATTCTCCACCTGCAAACCCACTCTGAAAGCCCAACCCTACTCTCCACCTGCAAACCCACTCTGAAAGCCCAACCCTACTCTCCACCTGCAAACCCACTCTGAAAGCCCAACCTTACCCTCCACCTGCAAACCCACTCTGAAAGCCGCAATACAACCAGGAGTTGTGACAGTGGATGATTCATACGGAAATGCAATTGTTTGTAGGCACAACACACCTTTGCACAAAAAAAAATTATCATGTGACTTGCAGCCAATCTTAAGTTGAAAGAAATCCAAATACAAGTGGTTGTTCTATCTCATTTGCCACAGGCTGTATTATCTTCCTCAGGCGCAGAAGAGAATAGTAGCTGGGAAAACAGCAGAACAGATGCTGAATACTAAATGCAGACCCTTCATTCGTTCCTCAGGGCCTGGGCAGCGCTTTCTTCCTCCTTTCCTCAGATCCTTGTCATGTCGATAGCTCAGTATCTTGCCTTGGGGACAGGGCACTGAGAGGCAGAATAGACACGTTGTACACAGAGGGTGAGGCACTGGTAGTTCAGTGCAGTTCCCATTTTTTCTAGTGCAAATTACTTCTCTCTCTTTAGCATTCTCCAAAGGGGGGAACCGGCATGATTGTTAACATCATAAGGGGCAAGGACATTGTGTAGCCATAGCTGTGTTTTCCATGAATCATACAACGGTTTAGGTTGGAAGGGACCTTAAAGATCATCTACGTTCCAACCCCCCCCTACCTTGGGCAGGGACACCTTCCATTAGACCAGGTTGCCCCCAAAGCTCCATCCAGCCTGGCCTTTAAGGTAATTACACATAGACAGGGGATAATCTATGTCAAAAAAAAATAAAAGCAGCATCTCCTTTGGTTCCCGAGGAAGGTACCTCCTTGTTGGACCAAGAACCAGCGGGGGGGCGGG